CCGGTGTTAAACCCTGGGGAGGCGCCGCCGCCAGGCGCTGGCTGCAGCAGCATTTGGGGCACCGTAGCGGCGCTCGGCGTAGCGGGTCACCCAGGCGGGGAGGTCGAGGGGCTCCTGGCGCCAGCCCAGCTCGTTCATCAGCTCGTACACCATGTCATTCTGCTCGATGCCCTCAGGCACCAGCCCGGTGCCCACCATGGTGGAATTGGGGAAGCGTCGAGCTGCAAAGGGGCCGTGGTTGATGGCCTCCACGGTGCCGAAGAGGCCATGATTGCCCCCGAAGTTGTGCAGCATGCACCAGATGAAGGGCTGCCCATAAAAGGACTCTGTCCACTGGTAGACGGGCTTGGACTCGGCGAAGAGGTCGAGAACGATCATCCTGCCGAGGGGCACACCGCGCAGCAGGGCCCGCACCTGCGCTGGCTGCCAGAAGTCCGGCTGGTGCTGGAAGAGCCAGCCCTGCATCAGCCACAGTGCCTTGGGGTCGGCTGGGGACAGAGGTGCACAGGGTGAGGTCCTCTCCAGGCAGGCACCGCAGGCGCAGCGGGCATCCCGCGAGGCCCCGGGGCCACCAACCGCCCCTCTTGGAGCGGGTTTTGAGGGTCTGGCACCAACAGGGTCTGCCGAGTGCTGGCAGCTCAGCGCTCGCATGGGGCACACAGGCATCTCCTCCCCCAGCTATCCCCACCTGGAGCCCCACGACCTGGCCAGCACCACACATTGACCCACCTCCCGTCATCGACCTGAAGACGGCGTTGCTGACCCTTGAGAGATAGGCAGGGTCAGAGAAGAGGGGGGTCATCTCGTTGAAGGTGTCGGCACTATAGATGTGGTCTGTGCCAAACTCCTTGATCAGCTCCTTCAAGAAGAAGGTCCCAATCACCTGGAACATGGGGTCCTCCGGGTCCAGAAGGTAGGTACACGAGTAGGTGCAGTCGAAGTGGCTCCAGCCGCCAAGGCGAGTGGCATTCACGCGTGGGAACACCCTGTGCCGGAGGGCAGAAATGGGGATCAGGGGCAGGGCAGCCTCCCAGGGAAGCCAGAATGGGCACAGGAGGGCCAGGAGCGGCAGGGGC